GGCCCCCCCCCCCCCCCCCCCCCCCCCCCGCGAAGAACACCAACAACCCCCTGCTGCGTCCTAAACACAGATCGTCCCTAAATTCCGCCCTTGCCTTCTTCTGATGAGGAAAGAGGTCAAGCGCCAATCCCGGCACCAGCGGGGAGCAGGTATGGTGCTGCCCCTTGCAGGACACCGACAACGCGTCCAAGGATGCCGCGGGCAAGTACTGGGCGACTACGGGATGCGACGGCGGCGGCGAGAGGGAGGACGTGCCACAGGCGGGGAAGGTTGTATCAACAGCAGCGAGCGCACAACAGAGTGCCCATTTCGTTGAGGGGGTAGGTTTAGGTTTCAGATGGCCGAGACCTCAAAATCTTGGTCCGACGACCAGTGGGTGTATATATCTACACGCGCAGGCGGAGATACAAAATTGTGCCTGCAGTTTTTTCTTTGTGTTTGGAGGTATATACGTCGATAAACATGCGCCGGGCTTGTGTCATTCTGACTATAATAGCTTGATCTCAACCCTAACTTTAATCCCGAGTTCTGGATAGCTTGGTTCTCTACCCTAGCCGTTAACGCCAAGTAGAGGTGGGAGCTCGGATGATGCGCGCATCGCTGTTTCCGCTTTTACATCGCTTGCAGGAACACCCTTCACCCACTCTGCCTTGGCATGCAACAGCGTATCTTCGTGGCCCTGTTTATTCTTCCACTGTAATGGTGGGAAAAGGCAGTGCCGTCACCGCCCGCTACGGCGGTGATGTCGCCCATCGTGAAAAGGAAGGGTCGATGAGTGTTTTGTGCGCTCGTATACTATTAATAGGACTACGCGCTAGACCACTACTGCTGTCGTAGTCCTCCTGGTCCTGTCGTCTACGGCGGGCGCGGAGGCCGGATCGCCGCTCACGCGTGCCGTCGTTGCCATAGCGGCCAAAAACGAGACGGGATACGGGAGAGAAAAAGAGACTACAATACGACTACCGTGGCAGCAAAAAACGCGTGGTGCGAACACGCGCGAAAGGGCACGACGTGCGGTGCTGCCGCCGTCAAGCCCAGAGTGTTAAATATATAAATATATAGCCGGGGCGGGGCGCCCCTTGACGGCAGAACTGCTGGAAAACGCGCTCTCTCTAGGCTTGCGTTTGCCGTGTCGGCGATTGGTGATCCACAAGAAGTGGGGGTGAAAAGCGTACGCATGATACATACCCGTGCTCTTGTGTGCGCAACGTTCGCAGAAACTGTCGTAGAACGTTTCTCGAACCAGTCTTCAGATGTTTAGGAACAAGGCAACACCCATAGTCACAGTTGGTGTATGAGTTACAGACATCCGTGTACAATCGTCAAGTTCGACCCGTGGAAGTAAGTCAAGGTTGGCAACCCGACGACACCAACATTTCCACGCGAGCGTACTACTGTAGTGCTGCACCTTTCATGACGACAGCAGCAGGAAGAGCGTTGAGCCCCGAGGCCCCAGGCGCCGGCCCTAGAGCAGCAGCACTACTGCTGTCGCCCGTCAAACCCTGCTCTTTCACCCCAGGTTTCAGCGAGGCATACACAGCGTCCAAGGCGCGCAGTTCCAGCCCCTCGTTGCGCCCGCTACCGACCCCCGTTGCCTTGCCAACGCTAGGAGAACCTCCTCCTTTCGCTGTCTCCGCTCCAGGAGGTGTCGTCGTGGGCGGCGCAGAAGCCGAGGATGATGCTTCGTTTCGAGAGTGGGTCACGAGCCTTGGGAAGAGTAGCCGCCACGAGGCAAGGAGAACTGGGTTCGCGCAGACGTAGGCGTTGGCGCGGACACCGGTGACGTCGAGCTCGGCCCAGAGGTCGGCTGGTGCGGTAGGCGGCGCCGTGCTTGCTCCTGCTTCGCTGCCAGTAGTCACAGCACATGCGGCATCAGTCGGCTGCTGCTGCTGGAGCCGTAGCGGAGTTGTAGATGGATTTCGAAATCGCACGGACAGGCTCCGGACAACAACGCTGTCGTCGCTCACAACGGCGTGTAGAGCCTCGAGGCCGGTACATGGGACGGGAGGATCCAGCTCGCTGGTGGTGGTGGTGGTGGTGGTGGTCCTGAAGGAGATGGTGGTCGCCGTGTTCAAGTGGGCTTCGCACCAACCGGCCACTGCTGCTGCTGAACAACGCTCCACATGCTGTAGAAGGAGAGGAACATGCAGTTTTAAGCGGACCGTGCTCGTTGACCCTGTCTTGACCACCATATCGTGTCGGCCAATAGGCCCTCTACCCTTGTGTGTGTTACTTTAAACGCGTTTGATCGTGTGTCTGTGCTGCCATGCGTGCGGCGCGACTTGGCTTGACACTGCAAGTGTTCCGGCCTGTGGGGGCGCCGCAATTTGAAACACGTACTGTACATATACATCCCTCAAAGGTTTGTTGGGGTCCCTCCGCTCACCCGACGCACGCCCACCCAGCGCACCCACAACATACCTACAGCGAAGGAGGGAACGTGTGAGCGAATAACCATGGGAGAGCCTATCATCGCTAGCATCACTTGCGGGTCCATTGCCGTGGTGATGCTCCTGTGGAACTGGCGGATGTACGAGCTGCAAAAGACAAGGGGCAAGGCGTGCGCAAAGGCGTGCGCCAGAGAGGCCCAGCTCAGGTTGAAAGTTCGGGCAGAGGAAGCAGAAGCAGCAGCAGCAGCAGCAGCAGCAGCGGAGGCGGCGGGCGCCAGCCTTGCTGTTGCACCACCAGCAGCGACGTGCGTGTCGACGCAGGCGCCCTCGAAGTCTCCTGCCATCTGCCCGTCACGCGTGATCAAGCTCGAGTCGCTGCCCGAGCGCAACGAGAGTTCTTCGCAATCGCAGGACAAGCAATCGCCTCTCCTGCTGCTGGTGAACAAACCCCGAGAGCGATTGGAGACCGCGCCCATGTCGCCCCCGCTCTCGTCCACCCGCTCGCGGTCGGGAACTGGCTGCTTCTTCACGGACGAGTGAGTAGGCGTCCGTTTTTGCTGCAAGGTACGGGGTGTGTGTTCTCGGGGGGAAGCTGGCCTAGATCTGCTTGTTGTCGTTGCTGCTGAAAAGTTGAAAAGTTTCCGTGGTACTGCTGTATGCGTTGATTGTGATCTGAAAAAAATGCTTGCTGCTTGCTGTTTTGCTGGAAAATGGTTCAACGGCCATGCGTCGCGATATGATGGATACGGCAGCACGTGTCCCTGCTGCCGCAGTAGGTGGTCTGCGCAATAGATTGATTGTCTTCCGTTTCCACCGCTGACGCTGTTAGAATTGCTATGATCCCTCGAGCCTGCTTCAACACAGAGCACAGCAGGCGTTGCGGTCACTGGTGTCGAGGAGAAGAGACGTTGGTCCGTCCAAGATTTCCCGCGCGTTTTTTTTTTGCGCATGTGGAACCGTATTTTGTATTTTCCTGTAAGAGTTTCACATTCCCTTACAGCAGCAAAGTACGTAACCCACAGCGACAAGGCTCTTGTTATACACAGAGAAACCAGCAACTAAACGGCGGGTGGTTTGTATTTGTGTGCATCAACGTTACCTGCTTGGAGTTTTAGGCCTCCGCCTCTTCCCCGCCGTCCGTTCGCTTCGCTGACCGGTATTCTAGGGGTATGTAACAATAATTATAGCCGTTCTTTGTGAGAGTTGATTCTCCAGTAAAGCTTGGCAAAAAAAAAAGGAGGGCTATACATGACCGCTCGCGTCCCCTTTGCCCCCCCGCCTTCTTGCTGCGAGCAGGTTTGAGGCCAGCGCCAGGCACAAGTCAGCCCGGCAGCAATGCCTGTCCATCTCGGATCTTGACATGGCGCTCCTGTGATGGACGGACGCATAGTCTACATAAGGATGGATGGATGGATGGATACCTCCGTCGTTTCCCGCCACCATCTCTGCTGCTGCGGCGGGGAGATGCACCAGGTTACAGCTATTATCAGCACACGGCCCGTGTCCCTTGACCCGGGGAGCAAGAGGGACACCACGAGACTGATGGGGGGAGGGACCAAGCGTGTAAGGCAGACTTGAGCGTGCGTTTCGTGTGCCGATAATAGTCGCTCCCCCGGCCGGCTCGAGGCCTTGATTGGTGGGGCGCGGGCGGTGAACAAACAAAAAAAAACATTTGCTGCCTAATTGGTACGCCCGGTGTTCTGCGTTGTTGGGTTTGCTGGTAGATTGCCAAGTGCCTGACAGGTCCGGTGTTCTGCATGGTGGGTAGCATGGTAGATTGCCAACTGCTGACATACACAGTGGTGGAAACGGCTCGAAGAAAAGATAAAAACCTGCCCTTTGTGTGTCTGCGTTGGATATACCGGTGAACTGTTCGTGTTGAGTGCCTTGGGGGCCTGGGTACCCGTGAGATTGGAGTATCCGGGCACCGAATTTTGTTGTGTTTTGTGGTGTTTTTTGTGTTGGTTATCGTATGCCACCATAGCTTATTTAGCTTTATACTGCGGCTGTTTTTGTCTTGGATGGGAGGCTCTCTCTCTCTCTCTCTCTCCGGCTAAGATCTCAGACGAACTGCTTGCTGTCGCGGCTGTTATAATCAGGATACCTTTGTTGGAACATGCCCCCCGGGCCGACGAGAAACCGCCGACAGCGGTAGTTACGTTTCAACTTTTGGAGGTTCCGTCGCCATTTCTTTGAGAAAAGGGGGGTCTAGGCAATTCGTGATGACCCCGATTTGCTTCATGGAGCTATAATAGCTGTGTGTTTGCCCTGTAGGCGTTGCGAGTGTTCCGCTGCTGCGACGGGGGGGTGAGTGGTTTGCTGTTAAGGTTTTGGAGGCAAGCCAGTAGCAGGGTGGTTATTGCTCCCTGCCGACTTGACCTATGGAGTGGGGTATCTCATTCATTGTGTTGCGCTTCTGCATTCTTCTTCATGTATTTGATTGGTGTTTGGTTTCGCGGGGACGGTGGGGGGCTGTTTTGGTGACAGGCGTTTTGAGTCGGTGTTTTGTGTGAACGTTAAAACGCCTGCTGTTTGGCGTGCTTAGTTCTCCTTGTTTGGGTTTTACATGGGCTGCTTGCTTTCGCAGCAGCGGCGTTACGAGACATGAGACTTGGTGTAGAAGGTGGTGCTTTGTGCTACGGCGGTGTTTGGAGGATAATGATGCTCCTTCCCCATCTCTCCATGTTTGGTTTGGTTTGCGTGGGCTGCTTTGTTTGCGCAACGTTGCGAGACTGAGGCAGGTAAGTAGTAGGTGGTGTAGTGTAGTGCTGCGACGGTGTTTGGATGATGCTCCCTCCCCGTTTCTTCCTCCAAAAGCCGTTCGTTGATCCCAAAGGTGTTGATATGCATACATTTTCTTGGGTCGGTTTCGTGATGAGTTGATTAAGGTTTTGGCTCGACTACATAAGTGGTTTTGTGTGTAGTTCTTGTGGCAAACGGTGCTTGGAGTGTTCCAGCTTGAATCCGATACAAAAATAATCTGTTTCATGTCAGCAACGACGGATAATATTAACGGTCGAGACACGGTGCAGGAAACGTGTTGTTTTTATCTCAGCTATGACGGGTCTTACCAGTCGAGCTTCCGGTTCTCTCCTTGCTTTGTTTGTGTTCGGCGGGAGAGTTGGTTGCCAGGTGAACGGAGAAGAGAAGTTAATTATTTCTTGCGCATGCATGCCTGTCGTTCGGAAACTTTGCTCTAAAAAAAAATTGAACGCGGGCGAAGTTATTGGTGTTGGGTTTGGTAGCTTGTGGCGTAGTAGTGTGTCAAGCGTCTAGAGCGTACGCCACAAGGAGGTTAGTTTGGCAGCAAGGGCCTAATTGTATCGTTTGGGGATGTAAAGTAGGGGTATGTGGTTTGCTGTGGCTTTCGTACGTACAGCGTTTTCGCTTGTGCGGCGTTAAGCGCGGTATTTTCGGGGGTTTTGGATGAGACCC